TGCGCTTTGCTGCAGCAGTGGCGCCTTCCGCATAAGTGTGACGGGGATCTTTGCGGCTGTGCAGCAACGACTGCAGCAGCAACAGCAGCGGCAGCCGCAGCAGAAGGAAGATGCCATCTCTCTTTGTGTGAAGGCTTTAACGACTAACACTCGCAGGCCCTTGAAATTCCTGCCTCCTTTTTCCTGGTTCGTTTCGGCCCCCAACGTCTTAGTAGCACTTGCCTCAGGTACAACAGCGGCAACAGCAGCTGCAGAACCAGCTTCAACGTCAACCGAAGCAGCAGCGGCAAGAGCACCAGATGCTGCGTCGCTGCTGGTGCTGGACCTGGAAGCTGCTTCGGGCCTTGAGCCTCTTCCAGGTTGCAGAAACAGCATACCAGCTAGCGAACAGCAGCAACAGCAGCAGCAGCAAAAGCAGCAGCAGCTGCAGCAGCACAAGTGTCACATGAGCGAGCAGGCATCGGCTGCGCTCAACTCAGCGTACCAGCAGCAAAGACAGGGGTTGCTGGAGCTCCGACAGCGGCGTGCAGCAGCAGCAAAAGCAGCAGCGGAAGCTGCTGCAGCTGAGACAGCAGACCCCACCAGTAGTAACCGAAAGGCGAGGCGAGCAGCAGCAGCAGCTGCTGCAGAGGTTGCTGTTGCTGCTGTGAAGTGGATAGACACTGCAGAGTCGACTTTTCTCAAGGAGGAGCGGCAGCAAATGGTCCTGCTGCAACGAACAGTCCCGAAGATGCTGCGGTGCAGAGCAGCAATGCTGCAGCAGCAGCTGCTGTTGCAGGCTGACGAAGCAGAACGCATGCAGCAGCAACAAAAAAAGCAGCAGCAGAAGCTTTCCGATCTCGAGCGACAGTCGGTAAGTTTTGCAGGCTCACGCGCTCTTGTTCTGCTTTGCATCATTTCTCTTGGGCGGCAGTCGCTCAACGGCAGCCGCTGATGCTGATTCTTGCCGCTGCTGTTGCAGGAAGAATTGAAGCGGCGCTGCAGCTCAGTTGCTGCATTGCTTGCTGCTGCTGCTGCCTCTCTTCGTCGGCGACAGCTCGCGGTGTCTCTCCCGCAGCACGCATTGCTGCTGCAGCTGCTACCGTCGCAGCTGCTGTCACTTGTTAGTCCTGCCCTGCTGCACCACGAAAGACCTACAGGTGCTGCCTCTCAACTGCCAGGCAAGGCCCTGCTCATTTCGGATTCACTGTTGCTCGCTGCAGTTTATTGCTGCACACCATTTTCTGCTGCTGTTCATTGCTGCTGCCAGTTGTTGCTGTTGCTGGTGCTGAATTCTGCTGCTGTTGCTGTGGTTTGGTGCTGCTGAATCGAATGTAGCTTGACACAGAAAGCGGTATTGTTGCAGCTGTGGTAGTTTTTGAGGATAACCTTGCTGCTGACATTATCTGGTGCTGCTGGTGTTGCCTTTCGCTGCTGCAGATGTCTCTCCACTGGTGCGGCTTACAGCAGCAGTCACAGCGCAGATGCTGGCCATTCAGCAGCGGGAGCAGAAGCTGCAGCAGGAGATTTTCTGTTTCGATTCTTTGCAGGGGACGCCTAGTAACCAGTAGAGGGATGAAATTCAACTGCATTAGTGACAGCAGGAGTTGCATCAGATCCTAGGAGGTAGGATGATCACTTATTTGCAGCTAGCTGCCACTGACAATTTATTGCTGCTGCTCTTAGGGCAGGCAACAAGGTGCAGTAACACCTCAGCGAACATCTTGGATTCATTGACTTACGTTTTGTCGCGGTATGCGAATAAGCATGATAGATTTGGACTTCCAGGGCCTGGATTTTATGGCTCGGAGTTTATACATAGCGGCTTAGTAAGAGGGCACTAGGTGCCGCACGAGTCTCGTATCGCACTTACATTTTTTGACGTCAGAATAAATTGCACTGAGAACGAAATATTAAGAATGAAGAGCGCGTTCCAAATGACTGTTCATATACAGCAGGCACGCACGGTACGTCGTGCAAAACACAGCGATACAGGCGCACACACTTTTAAGTGTTTGAAGTTTATTTGCGAATGTCGAGAATTCTGGGCATTGCGTACGCATGCGTGGATGTTTTTGCGAGTGCATGCAGATGCCTTGGCAATTTTTACTTACAATTAGCTCTTCGCGCGCGACCACCAATGGTGCAGTGCATTGACTGTGTTGGCTGGGGCTGTGGTGGATGTGTCGTGGCTTGCCGATGCTAGCTGGCTAAGGCTAGCTGGCTAAGGCTAGCTGTGGTGACCTTTTTCATGGATGCTGGCTTTGTTATTGCATGGTTTATCTGCTTTTGCTGAGAAACGATGTGGGATCTTCGCGTGTGCCCCAACGTAAACTGAGCGCACAAATGCGAAGGTCCCTCAGAGCAGAGTTGCTCCATAAAGACTGCAGCAGCAAATACGGCAGCAGTGGTAGAAGGAGCAACAGCACGCTGTCTTTTTAGAAACAGAAACATCACCAAACTGCATTGTAGAGGAGTCTGTAGCAGCAGCAGCAACAAGCCGCGTCTTCGGAGGCAGAAGTAGCAGCAAACTGCGGCATTTGAGGGAGCAGCAGCTAAACTCCAGCAACTCCCGTTGCTCTAGGGAGGCAAAATAGTTGGCGGTGAAGCCGCACCACAGGCTGTCCCAAATCAAGGCAACTAGCGCTGCTGCCACTGCCAATGCTGGTGCTGGCGTTGCTGCTGCTGCGGCCAGTGCAGCAGCGGCAGCAGCGACCACAAACTAGAGGCAACGAAAGACAACGAATCCTGTGCTACGGCTCCGACGCGAAATCCAGTCCCAATATTTTGGCGGCTTCCAAACTGTATCTGCAGATACACTCACTCAGTCAACTTCAGCGAAAGGACAGCTGCAGCAAGGGGATAGAACGGGGAACGAATGCACAGCAGCAACAGTGCAGCAGAAAAACAAGGGAGCCGCATTTTTGAATGTGTCTAAAGTACGGACCTCTTGAGACGAACTAAATGGGGAGCGTTTGCTGCCGCTGCTGCCGTTGCTGCTGCCGCTACATCTCCTGTGCTTGACGCTGGTGATGCTACTTCCCCTGTGATTGATGTGGATGATGCTGATAATGCTGCTCTTCGACAAGGGGCTCGTCGTGCAGCAGAATTGTCGGAGCCGAAAATGCTGCTCTTTACGGTCTCTTTGCTTTTGCCGCGCATACTGCTGCTGCTGTTGCTGCTGCTGCTGCTTCTGCTACGGCCGCCGTTGCTCGTGACAGATGATTCCATAAAGGAGCGTACCAAAGTGCTGTATTTTGTATGCAGTGTAGTGCCACTATAAGGTGCTGCTGCAGCTTCAGCGGTTTCGGCTGCTGCTGCTCTTGCCGCTTCAGCTTCGGCCAACCACTGGCAACGCCAGGACGCGAAACTTTGAGCAAGGAGGAGCCGTTGCTGTCTTTCCGTCACCCTTCTAAGACAAGATCCAAAAAGAAAACAGCCCGCCCGACGTGTCTGCTGCTGCTGCTGCTGCAGCTGTTTCAAGCAACAACAAACGAACCTTTCGAGGTTGAGGTAGCCCACGGGATTCTGCTGTGGGGACGGGACGCTACTGCGGCGCCAAGACTCCACAGCTGTTATCCCTGTTGCTCCTGGTGCTGCTGCTGCTGCGGGTGCAGTTGCTGCTGTGGTTGCGGTTGCTGCTGCCGCCTGCAGCCCCTCCATCTCCGCTAACTGCAGGGTGGGAGAGCGGCGGCAGTGTATGTGGACCTTGGAAGGTGCCAAGCGGATAAGGGGAGCACAGAGACGGCTTTTGCTGCCGTTTCAAATCCTGTTTTAGTGCTGTTCTGCCTTGAAATCGTTCATGTGCTGCTGTTGTAGCTTCGGTCGCTGCCGTTAACCCCAGATTGGCAGAGCTGCGCCTCCCGCTTCTGTTGCAGCTGATGCTGTTGCTGCGGCAGATGGTCCAGATGCCTTTACTGCAATAGTTCGTGCTGCTGCAGCAAGTGTGTACGGCAAGCGGAATAGCGCTGTCTGGGCGGCTTGAGGCACTGGCAGACTCGGAGCTTGATTTGCGCGTGAGCAGTCCAAATGATCAAGCAAAGGCAAAAGTTGGCTTGAAACAACAGCAAGGCTCAGCTGTACGTGCAACCCAGTGGCTCACTGCAGGTGCATACTAGACGTGGCCGCTGGTCCCGTCGCTGTGCAGCACAGCACGGCGCCAATGTTTGAACGCCTGTATCGGACTAATTTTTCGGTTCCATCATCCAGACCCCAATTATAAATGCTTACATGTCCCCTTCTCTGCTTTTTATAAACACTTCTGAACCACTGGAGCCTAACTACTGGTCTTGCCTCCCCGCAGCTGCGGATCTCGGTGCTGCTGGGTCTCGGGGCCTTGCTGATCCCCCCTTTTGGCTGCCTGCTCTCATCCCATCTGTCCAACTATAGTTGTTGATTTATGCCCTTTATTTTTGTAAAGACTTAATACGCGTGTAATTGTTTCCTTGATTCGAGCGCCTCGTTGTCCGCTCGCTGCCTGACCACCAATACAGCTCTAGTGAGGCTGGGCCGCAGGGGTGACCGTTGAGATATTGAAATTTATGAAAAAAGACAGTTACAAATAAAGCTTATTTCCCCATTCAAAATGAAAAATAAATCAATTACTGATACGTCGCAGATATACACGCCGAGCAAAGTACGACTACCGCCGCAACTGCCACGCGCAGCAAGACCAGCAGAAACCGCACGTGGTGCCTCCGAAAATGCGCAGAACAAGTCCAGAACACGTTTACATTTCTCCCTCTGGCTGTCTCTGCTGTATCTGCTTGTTTTGATAGCGCTGCCTCTGCTGCCAAATTTGCCGCTCTGGCAGCGACCATACGGACCTCCCCTCCGCTCCACCAGCTGCAGGAGCGTCAGTAACTATTGGAAATGGCCCAAGCTGCTAGTCCATGTGCAAACTAGATGCGGTGCTACGGCTAAAGTGCAGCAAACTGCGTTGCTGCTGCAGCGCTTCGTCCTCACAGCGCGCTAACGGGCAACAACGCCAGCCGCAGCCGCAACACGTGCCGCTACACTAGTCAATCCAACGGAATTTCAAAGGCGCATGATCGGGGCTGCTGTCTTTCCCTCTGCTGCTGTCGTTGTTGCTGATGCTCCTGAAGGAGGGCGCGGTGTATTTCCATCTCGCTGCCTGCCAGTATAGCTGCGGTGCTAACTTCACTGGCACTCTCAAGTGCGCTGCTGCTGCTGCTGTTGTCGAATACAGCTGCCGCTGTCGCTGTTGCTGTCGCTGCAGCACCAGAAAAGTGCCGCCTGGAGGTCGACTGCGTGGGAGTTGCTGCTGCTGCCGTTGCTGCGGCTGCCGTTGCTGCAGCAGAGACAGCTGACAACACCTGCTGCTCTGCTGCCAGCACGAGGGAGCTGCTGAGTGTCGGAAGCCCCTCCGCTGTGCTGCTAGTAACTGCAGAAACGTTCGTCTGCTGCGGCAGCACTGGTGAGTTGCTGCTGCTGTTGCTGCTGTCCCTGCTGCCCGACACCCTAAACTGCTTCAGCATTCCGTCCAGCATTGCAGACGTCAGTTTCTCCCCTGCAGCGGCAGCTGCTGCTGCATCTTGCTGCAGCTGCTGACCAATCTGCTGCTGCAGCGGCTGCTCGTCAGACGTGCCCATAGTAAAGTGGTTGATCAATTCCTCAGCAGACACACGCTGCTGCTGCAGTTGCTGGTGTTGCCGCTGCAGCAGCTGCTGCTGCTCCTGACGCTTCTGGCCCAGGGCACTTGTGCGACTGTCTGAAGAGCTAGAAGATAAAGACGCTCTTGGAGAAAGAGCCCCTTCAAATTCGATGTCGCAAGCCGCAGCTTCTGCTGCAGCTGCTGCAGCCTCTGCTGCGGATGCCACCGCAGCAGCAGCTGCTTCTGCTGCTGGAGATGCAGTTGCTGCTGAGGCTGCTCGGCCTGGTGTATAACCATGCTCAGGTGTATAGGCACGCTCAGGTGTCTCGATAACTAAGATGCTTGATTGCGTAGGAAAGACGGAACTACCACCCGCTGCTGCTGCCGCTGCTGTTACTGTTGCTGCTGCGGCAACATGTGGATGCTGACCAGCTGTAAATGAATGCGCGTGCCTCGGCTCGCTGAAGGGAAGCACCGAATAGCTGCTGCTGCTGCTGCTGCTGCTGCTACTGCTGCTACTGCTGCTGCTGCTGCTGCTTGCGTCTGTGGGTGGGGCAAGCTGGTTTGCAGCCGTTAGGCCAGAGGGCGTGGAACTGCTGCTGCTGCTACTGCTGCTGCTGCTGCTGTCATCTGCAGGCCCTTCTTGAAGCAATGCCTCTTCAAACTGTTGCTGCAATAGCAGCTGGTGCTGCTGCATCTTTTCTGCTTGCTGCTGTTGTTGATGCAATTGCTGGTGCTTCTGCTGCTGCTTTTGCAGCTGGGTGTGCACACCATCATGACTGTTTCTCTGTTGCTGTTGCCGGTGCTGCAGTTGCTGCTGCAGCGCGATGAGCTGCTGCTGTTGTTCAAGTTGTTGCTGCCTCCGTTGCAGCTGCAGCTGTTGCTGTTGCTGTTGCTGTTGTTTCAGCAGCTGCTTCTCCAGAAATACCTGTTGCTTCATCTGCTGCCGCAACAGCAGCCCCTGTGTCCTCGTAAGGGACTGCAGCAGATTGTTGCTGCTGCTGTCCGGTACGGCAGCAACCGGGATCTGCTGGTGTCTCATGCTGGCGTTGGCGTGGTAGGATCCGAGGGTACGCAAGTGTCTTCTGTTGCTCGCTGCAGCTGCTGATGACCTTGCAGCAGCAGCTGCGGCAGCAGCAGCGGCAGGGAACGGGACAGGGTTACTGTCGGGTCTCAGTGACGACAGAAATACCTGCTCTGATGCCTCCCGATCAGCAAAGAAGCCAGACACGGCCCTTTTTGCTGCTGCTGTGGTCCCTTGTTGCAGGTTGCGCTGCCGCAGCAGCCGCTGCTGCTGCTGTTGCGACACGGGGCCTTGCTGCTTCAGTTGCTGCAGGCGACGCCTCACCAAAGCTTCTGCCTCTGCATCATTCAGTGGAGCACGCTGTTGGGACTGCTGCTGCACTTGCTGCCGTTTTTGTTGTTGCTGCTGCAGCTGCTGTGTTTGTTGGTGCTGCTGCGGTTGCAGCTGTGAATGCTGTTGCGGCGTTTCTGAGAGCTGCTGCTCTTGTTGACGAATTTGTTGCTCCAGCTTCTCCCTTTGCTGCTCCAGCTGCCGCCGCTGCTGCTGCAGAGCTTCAATCTGGAGCATTCGCTCTGCTTCCTCTGTGTCAGTCTGCTGCTCCTGCAGCTCCTGAAGGCAGCTCTCTTGCGGCTGCTGCAGCTGCTGTTGCCCCTGCTGCAGGGAAATGCGCCGCAAGGTGGCCCCTATCTCTTGATGCTGCTGTGGGTCCTCCTGTTTCTGCTGCTGTTCTTGCGGCTCGTCACCATCTCCCCACCATGGTGGATAATTGCTGCTGCTGCTGCTGCACGCCAATACAACGCAGCAGCAGCACCCTGCGGGCAATCGCCAAGCTAAACTAAAGAAACAGGCGCACCATCAATACAAGCAACAAAACCCTTGCACTCATATCAACAGCAGCAGCCTACGCTGCAGTCCCGTCATCTCCTCTGCGCCACAGACTGCTGGCTTTTGCGCCACTGCTCCTGCTGCGGCTCGCAGCAGCGGCGGCTGCTGCTGCCTCACTGCGACCCCTGCTGCCTTGCAGCAATTGAAGAGGAGCCAGCTTGTGGGCTGGGGTCAGTGATATGTCCGTGTTTGCTGCGACAGGAGCAGGCGCATCAGCAGTAGCAGTAACAGTAGCAGCAATGACAAAAATGCACACATTGAGCTGCAAAACGGGATCCGGAATACATCTCATGGAAAAGTTAAATGAGGACAAGGGACGTGCTAAACAGAAAAGGGAGAGCTCGTAACAGCAGCACACGAATGCCAGCAGAAGCAACCAACTGCAGCAGCAAAAAGCAGCACGGCAAAAACGGGCTGCATCTTACCATTGACGATGCCAATGAGATCTTCCAAAGAAAGCGAATGAAGTGCCAAGCCAGAATTACGCAGAGAAACAACACCTAAAACAAATGTCCTGACGCAGCAGCAGCAGGAACGGGAGAAACGGCAGCATGTGAAGCAACAAACGCAGCACCAGCATTGCCAAAGCAAGCGCAGCAGCAGTAGCAATCCCAGCAGGAGCGCGAACAGAGTTCCTAGGCAGCGTAGAAGTAAGCGAAGGTGGCAAACATTCGACGGGATTCAGAGAAACAGCAGCTGCAGCGGCAGCAAACACAGCAGCAGACTCAGCAACAAGTACCACTTGACTACGGCCGGCCACTGCTGCTCCGCAAAAGCTGCCAAATACCTGCAAAAACAAAGAAACAATAAGAAAACCGAAAGTAGAAAGAGAAGCAAGGACATATAGCGGCAAAGAGCTGACAAACAAGCAGCAAAGAAGCAAACAAAGGCAGATACAGGCAGCCGCCCAAGCAACAGAAAGAAAACGAAGACGGGAGGCCAGGGGGGAGATGACACAAATGGACACCCAAGTGACTGGAGACGTTGACAAAGAAACAAACGAAGGCAGACACACGAAGGAAACCGAAACAGCAAGCCGGCCTGCTTCACCGCTTGATCATAGAGTGCGTCAGCCACTCGCTGATGAAGACAGTGCCCTTGAAGGGCCGCAGCAGCGCTGACTCCGTCCCTCTGAACGCTACATTTTTGGCGGCAGACATTTTCGAGCCGTTGCTGCGGAGGCCCCCGTGGTTATGGCAGTTGCTGTGGTTGCTGCACCTCTCTGCAAGTGCTGCTCTGACTGCTGTTCGGGTTGCTGCTTAGCTGCTGCTGCTGCTTCTGTCGCAGCTGCTCCGGCAAGATTGAAGCTACAGCCTTCTGCACAGCAGCGCCTGCGCCGTCAGGTGCGAAACCAGCGCTGTTCAACACTGAACAGGCACCTAAGTGCCTTGTCTCGCAGCTCCAGCAGCAACACCAGTTGCTGCTGGTGCTGTTGCTGCCGTGCCGAGGCACGATTAACCGTATTAACGCCACTTATACAGCGCATCGGCTGCTGCTGTCGCCGCAGAGCAGCAGCCAGGTAACTTTGCCACTCCAGCACAACCTGCTCTGGCTGCTGCTGGGAAAGCTGCTGCTGCTGCTGCAGCGTGTAAAGCGTTCCAACCTTTCAAAAAATCAATGGAGCTAGAATGACAATAAATTTAGCAGCACTTTAGGGTTATTGCTGCTGCTGCTGCTGTTGGAGAGAGCCGCCGACTCAACCAAGGTGGACTGGAGCAGCAGCAGTACCAGTATGGCAGCCAACTCCAGCCCCAACAGAGCCTACTGAATTTACAATGATTCAATAAATTTTCCCGTCAGTATGCATTGTTAAATGTGCTGCTGCATTGCAATAGTACAAAACAGCAGCGGCAACTGCAGCAGTATCAGAACCTGGGGCCGATTGATTTGGCTGCCGTGTCGATGGGGAACTTCTATAGTCCCGGCTACACCAGGTACAAATAATAGCTTGCTACTGCTGCCTTTGCTGTTTCTGGGTTCTGTGTAAGCCACAACAGCACCAACAGCAGCAACAGCACGCGCCGTAGGCGCTGCGGCAACCTCTAAGCAGCAACCCTGCAGGCAGGAACAGTACCTCACGGCAGCCACCGCGGCAGCAGCAACGGCTGCACCAAATATAGCGGCAACGCAACCTTCTCTTCTCCGAGGGGCGCTTCACGGGCCAATTTGCTGCTCCCAGCAGCAGTAGTGGCGAGCAAGGAGAGAGCGTGGGTCGGGAGAAGCCACAGCTGGTGAGAGGCTAGCAGCGGCGACCCTAGCAGCAGCAAAAGCTGCAGACTGCCGAGAAGCAGCAGCTTCAGGCTCAGCCGTATACCGATCGCCAGGAGTGCAGCAGCAGCAGCAGCAGCAATGCCAGAACCCGTTCGCTTCCGCATAGAGCCCACCACTGTCGGCGACGGGCGTCTGCTGCGCTTCCTTACTGAGCAGCAGCCGCCGCAGCCATCGTGGGAAGCACCACCCACACGGCCTCTTCCCCCGCAGCAGCTGCTGGAGCAGCAGCAGCAAGACCAGGAGCAGCAAGAACGCGCACTCTCAGCCGACGGGGGCTCAGCTGGCGCTGCAGCTGCCGCCGATGGAACCTCCGAAGCAGCCGCGCCCGCGTCGGCAGCGTCAGCTAGGACAGCAGCAGCAGCAGCGGCGGCCGCCGCCGTAGCCAGTGGGAAAGATAAGGGCGAGAGGCAGCAACTGCGCTCCTGGTTGGCAGCAGCAGCAGCAGTTGACCTAGTGGGGCCTCCTTTGGATTTGCTGCAGCAGAGCGGGGCTTTTTTGATGGCTGTTGATGAGCTGCAGCAGCAGCAGCAGCAGCAGCAGAACCTGCTGCTGCGCAATGAAGCAGTGTGGGCAGCAGCCATAGCCAGGAGAGACAAAGCAGCACAGAAACTTGCAGCAGGAAGCATGACGGCGGATATGCTGCTGGGGACTTTGCATGCAGCCCCGGGGGAGCGCTTTCTGACTCTGCTACCAGCCGTGGACCAACCTCGGGAGCAGAAGCAGCAGCAGCTGCAGCTGCAAGAGCAGCAGCAGCAGCTGCTCATAGGGCTGCAGCAGCGCCACGAGCGCGCAGAAAAGCTGCAAGCTGCCCTCGCCTCGTGCATCCGCGAGCTGAAAGGCCCCCATGGGGCTCCTGCTTCTGCGCAGTGGCTGCAGCTGCTGCAGCTGCTGCACCTGCAGCAGTGGGAAACCGTCAAAAAGCAATACCACGCCCTGGAGTTTGAAGTGGTCGACGGCAACTATCCCTACAGGTCTGAAGTGTACGTACACCTCATGCATGTCGCCTCCACCTGCTGGGGCCCCACACCCGACGCAAGAACGGCCCTGCCGCTGCCGCCGCCACCGCCTTTTCAGGAGCACTTTGCGCTTTTGTCAGTGGCAGAGCCGCCTGAAGACGCGGACCACCGGCAGGAGCAGCAGCAACAGCAGCAGCAGCAGCAGCAAATCAGACTGCAGCTAGAGTTTCCCTCGCCCGTGGGGCCCCTCATTGAGGGGCGCTCGTTGCTGCACTGCAGGGCGGCTCTGCTCATGCCCTTTCCAGAGCTGCAGCACCGGCGCCTGCAGCAGCAGCACAACTGTTGCTGTTGCTGCTCCCAACGGGGCGCCGCTGCGGCAGCCGCCTGTGGGGCCTTCTGGGCCGAGAGAGAAGCACGTGGAGCAGCAGCAGCAGCAGCAACAGCAGAAGCAGCGACAAGCAACCTTCACGGGTCAACGTGCCTGCCCGAGCTCTCGGAGCTCCGAATGCCCCTTGCAGATAAGAGCAGCAGCAGCAACAACAGCGAGGTGGCTGCAGCGGCAGCAGAGGTTCATCAGTACTTAGAAGGTGCCCAGTGGGTGCTAGCGGACTTGGCAGCAGCACACGTCCTCAGCGCGCAGCTGCTGCAGCAGCAGCAAGAGGGGAGCCTCACAGTGGCCCGACGGCACCGCGGCAGCAGCAGCAGTAGCAACAGCTGGTGTGGAACCACTTGTGGTAGCTCGTGCCTTTCCGTGGAGACTCTGCGCGTCAGCAGCGACCGCGTGGAGCTTCTTATAAGGAATGTTCCGGTGTATTCGCAGCAGCAGCAACAGCATGAACAGCAGCAGCAGCAAGAACCTGCTGGCTGCCACACGCATGACTTCACCATCACCATATCTTATGTCCCTTCCGTTTCCCCTGACAGCGACAGCAGCGCCACGGAGAGAAACAGCAACGACACCACCAGCAGCAGCTACGGCATTAATAGCTGCAGCAGCAGCAGCACGGGCTGTTGCGGTTGCAGCCGTTTGCTGCTGCAGCAGTTCGAGCGGGTGGTCGTGCTGTCGCTACGGCAGCTATTCCTAGACACCTGGGCAGCAGAGGCCTTTGCTGCTCCTGCTGCGGCAGCAGACGGGATCCCTAAGTCGCCCGCTCTGCGGCTGCTGCAGCAGCAACTAAAGAGGAAGCTGAGACTGCCGCCTGCGGAGCAGCAGCAGCCGCAACAGCTGTCCGGCTTAAGGGGCACATGCCTCCTGCAGAATTTCCTTAGGTGGCTGCTAGAAGCAATGGAGCTGCTGCTGCTGCCACCGCAGTAGCAGCTGCAGCACTCCAGCATCCGGCAGCGACGGCAACAACGGCGGACTCGCATATTTAGTGTCAACTCAGTGTCCGTTCGAGCCATTCCTAAGACTGCACTTTGCGTCTGCTGCTTCTGCAGAGGATGCAGGAGCCACATCAGCAGTAGCTGCAGCGGCAAACTAGCATTCATTTGAGCAGACGAAGACGCGGCGAGCCACAAAACACCGGATATCGGTGCTACTACAGTTGCTTCTGTTGCAGCTGAGGCTGCTGCTGCTCTTCCTCTCGCTAGGCAAAAAAACGTCGCGAAACGCGCATTAGGTAGGAAGGCAGTGCAACGGATTGCGGAAGGGAGAAACCACTGTAGTCGCTGCTGCTGCTGCTGCTAATATTGCCGTTGCAGTTGCTGGTCCTGGCGCTGTCGCTGCTATTCCGCATTGCTGCTGGCTTCTCCGGACAGGGCCAACGAGCATACTTGCTGGAGCAGCTTTTCTTCCTGTATCTGCTGCTGCTGCTGCTGCTGCCGCTGCTGTACTATGAGACGCAGCAGCTGCTGTAGCAGGGGCTCCGCGCCTTGGGCGTCAATGATGCACACGCAGCTCTGCCGTGTGGCCAAGCGAACTCCTCTGCAGCAGCAGCAGCACCGCACAACTTCAGCACACGGCGACTGTGCGCCCTCCAGCCGCTGAGTTTGCGTCTGCGGCAGCTACTGCAACAGGTGCAGCAGCAGCACCAACAGCCGCCACATAAACAGCGAAGGCAGCCACGGCGACTGCAGCAGTTGCAGCAGGCTTACTTCTTCAGTACGTTACGTGTTGATACGACGCCCACGGGCACTTTTGCTGCCGCTGCTGCAGCGCGCAGAGCATGCACTTGGTCAGTCAGTCCTCCTGGCATGAGCACACACACAGTGAAAGGCTGGCACCTTGTGCTGATGTTGCTGCTGTTGTTGGCAATGCAAATAAAAAGCAGCAACTCGAAATATAAAGGTACCATGGGCAGCTCTCTGCTGAAGATACCCCGGATTGCAGAAGCGGCTGCTGCTGCTCCAGCCTCAGCAGGAGCAGCAACAACTTCAGCAAAAGCAAAGAGAGTCAAGGGCCTTAGCAGCAGCAAAAACAGACCTGGGGTGACAGTTGGCTCCAAGTTTGCCGCAAGGAGTACCAGCAGAGGTTTCTTCCGTGTTGACATTGACAAGTCAAGAGCCTCATCTTCGCTGCTGCTGCTGCTGCTGCTGTCGCTGCTTTTGGCTTCATCTACTTCCTGCTGCTCTTCATGCAGCTGATCCTGCCCGTCAGAGATTGCCTGCTGCCTTCGGCGCAGCTGCTGCTGCAATGCTGCTGCTGCAGCCTCCTTCGCAGCAGCCCGGTCCTCCTTCTTCTCCTGCTTCCGCTGCTGCCGGAGTTGCACCTGCAACACCGTGCGCATGCTGCACAGTCTCTTTCTGTTTAATACCTTCCATTTAATCAAACAAAGACGAAGTAACAGATAATCTACACGCAGTTACGTGTGCAGCTTGGCTTAACTACTCGCGGTGTTGCCTTTGCTTTATGTATACTGTACAGCTGACGATGATCACACAGACGCTGCATACGACTACTGTACTTAATCAGAAAATGCTGCATCTTGGTACTTCCTGGTGGGCCTTTGAGACAATTCTACATTCTTTAAGTGCATCGCCGCAGGGCGTTAAACACATCATCCGCTAAGTAGACGCCCAGTGTCACGAACATATAAGCATTTACATGTAGATTTAAATGGCCATACACAATTGAATACACTGTGAAGACAAACCGACATGCATTTCAACGAAAATGCCTGGGCATGATGCATAACTCAGGAGCGCACGCACACGCAAGGGAGCAAAGGTTACAAACACACCGTATGTGAAATCCAAATAAAGTTGTTTGAAAACGTTTATCCAACCCTTGACTGAAAGCGAGTTAGTCTGAGGCGTACACAGCTTCACCTGCTGCAGCAGCAACTTCTGTGTCTCCCGCAGACCGCACACAAACCGACGGCGAGCAGCAGCACGCAGTGGAGCCCGTTGCTGCAGGCGCAGCTGCAGCAACAGCAGAAACGGAGAGCAGCAGCACGTCAAGGTGGCACCATTCCAACAGATGCAGCAGCCATGAGTGGGGTGCACACGCGGCAGCCGGGCCGGCAGCACCACAAAGTTGCAGCACTAGCAAAGTGAAACACCTGCAGCAGCACGAAACAGCAGCAGCAGCAGAAAGAAGTACATAGAACTCCCTCAGAGTGGTGAGAAGGATTACTGCTGCGGCGTCAATCTCTGGAGATGTCAGCTGCGCGTACACTCCACAGCAATATATAACCTTCAGGCGCAGCAGCAGCAAGTAGCAGCATTAGCAGCAGCATTGTCGCAGCACGATGGACAGACCCTCATTCTACAGCAACTGCACTCTAGCTGCATAAGTGGAAAGTGAGAAACAAAGTGCTGCTGCTGCACCTCCTGCTACCGCTTCTGCTGCAGCTGCTGCTGACCTTGCCCAGTTCCGGGTGCATGTGCAGCTGCTTTGTTTGCACCGAAATGAGCCACTGTTGCAGGTCTTCTTCCCGCAGCAGTCGTTGCCTTATGCTGCTGGTGCTGGCGTTGCTGCTGCTGCTGCTCAAGCTCCTACTCCCTCTAGCAGCAGCACTGACAGTTGGTGCTGCTGCTCCAGCCGTTGCAGGAGCAACGACATAATCCGCATCTCCACCCTCCGAACCTTCAAAACCAACAGGCTCAAGCTGCAGATTAGCTTCTGCTGCAGTTTCTGCAGCAGCAGCAGCAGCAGGCGCTGCTGCTGCTTCAATTTTCACGTTCGTTGTACGGGAAGAAAATGACTGCTTTGTTGAAAGCCGCCCGCTTTGCTGCTGCTGTTGCTGCGGCGGCGACAGCTGCTGTTGCTGCTGTTGCTGCCGCTGCTGCAGCTGCTGTAGAAGAATTCGCTTCTGCTCCCTCTCCGGCTGCAGCAGCTTTCGCATGCCTTTCAGGGCGCTCTTCTTCACCAGCGGCTTGCCCCTGTACCTCAGGCCTTGTGGCACGAAGCCTGCTGCAGCAGCTGCAGCAGCGGAAACCTCCGGGGCCTCCTCGCCAAGGCCGCCGCGGTGCCTCGGTCGCTGTTGCTGCTTCTGCTGTTGCTGGTTCCTTTGTTGTGGTTGCCGTTGCCGCCGCCGTTGTTTTTGTTGCGGCTGTTGTTGCTGCTGCTTGACACAAAGCCCTAAAGCTACAGCAGCAGTTGGTCCACCTCGATACCGGCTGCTGCTTTTGCTGCTGTGGATACGAGGAACTGCAGCGCCTGCGGAGAGAAGCCCTTTGCTGCCGCTGCTGGTGCTGAACTGCCCAGAGCCTCCAAACCCTGCAGCAGCTGCAAGCGGAGGGAATTCCTCCTCAGCTGACAAAGGCTCACTCTGTTTCTGCCGGCCCTCATGGTGATGCAGCTGCTGCTTTTGATGCTGTACTAGTTGCTGCTGCTCTTCTTGCTGCTGCTGCTGGTCTGCATGCTGCTGCGGTAGCCGCTGGTGAGGCTGACGCGTAACAGCAGCAGAGCTTATGTCACTACCGTCGTGCGCTTCTATAGCGTTCTGCCCTGAGGGCTGACGTTGTGACTGCTGCTGCTGCTGCTGCCGGCGTTTTTGTTGCGGCTGCTGCTGCAGCTGTTGCTGCTGTTTGTGTCGTTCTAATCGAATTTTCTGGCCATTAAAAGTGCCCGAAGAGCCCTTTACGGAAGATCTAGCGGGGCTGTTGTGTGCGCCCTGGCGGTCATCCATGTTACTGCCGTTCCGCAATATGCTGCTGCTACTGCTGCTGCTAAGACCAGTGGCAGCTGCAGTAGCACAGGCGTTTGTGTCCGTTGTTGCTGTTGTGCTTTTAGTAAAAGACTCATCCGCATGTATATTTCCAGCACTTTCACTGGAGCGTTCTTCCATTCAGTAGCGGCAGCTGCTGCCGCTGCTGCTGCCGTTGCTGCTCCCCGCTAATACGCAGTTTCATTGAAATTAGGATTCTGCCCACCCAACTTTTTCTACCACTGCCAAACCATAAATCAATATTATAACATTATAACATTCTTATATTTTGTCTTTGTCATTCCGACCACATATGAAGCCGCTGTACAGGAGGCCCTGGGGCCCCCAAGAGGACCTGGGGGCCCCGGGGGCCCTCATGGGGGGCCCCGGAAGCCCTACCCTATGGGGACCCCCTAAGAACCTTCAGACGGATTCCCCTAGGGATCTTTTTACTGAAATCTGTGCTTTCTTGCCTACATTTGAGCAGCAAGGGGGCTGCGCCCGCCACAACAATGGCCTCGCGGAGGAGTGAAGCAGCAGCAGAGTAGCGGTGGGATGAGGAGCAACAGTGACAGAAGTAACATTGTCGCCAGACGCAGCAGCAGCAACACGCAGAACGCTGCAGCAGCTGCAACAGCTGCTGCCACTACACAGCAATGGTAGAAAACACCAGTGGTCCTTGCGCCACTACAAACCAGCGGGCTGCCTGCGCTGCTGCTGCTGCCGCTGCAGCTGCGGCTCATGTGACAGCAGCAGCAGCAGCCGCTGCTGCTGCTTCAGCTGTCGCCGCAACTGCTGAAATGCTCGCTTCAGCACTAGCAGCGACGGCCGCCTCTGCCAACACGCAAGAAGCAGCAGCGGTGGAAAACGGAGAAGCAGGAACTCCAGTTGCTGCTTCTGCTGCTGCAGTGGTTGCGGGGGCAGCCGAAATTATGGAGAAGCAACAGCATGCGGAGGCACCACAATTTGAGCTGCTGCTCCCGCTCCTGCTGCAGCAGCTTCAGTGGCTTGTTCCACAGCACCAGCAGCTGTTGTTGCAGCAGACGCAGCAGGGAAAGGCTCAGCAGCAGCAGCTCCAGCCTCAAAAGCCACCACATGCAGGGCATGAAGAGCGCGAACGGGTTGAGCGCGCTCCCGTGCTGCAGCGAGAGGCGCAGCGGTGCAAGCAGGAGGAGGCGAAGCAGCAGCAGCAGCAAGCACGCTACTGTCTGTATGGTGAGGCATCGTCTGGTCCTGAGCAGCAGCTGCTGCTGCTGCGCCTTTCTCTCGCGTGCTGCTGTTTGTTGATCCGTAGATTGCGCCTCTGCTGTTGCTGCTGCTGCGGCTGCAACTGATGTTGCTGCCACTGCTGCTTCTATTGTGCTGCTGCAGTTCGAGGCATCAGCCGCAGCAGCAGCGACGCGGCTTTGAAGTGTCTCTTTAGTTGCTTCGGCTTTATGTCTTCCTTGGAGCGGAAGCACGGCTACTGTTTTGTAGTCTACGCCGAGCCTGCTGCTGGCGCCATTGCTGCTGTTAGGGTCCCCTGTGCAGCAGCAGCAGCAGCAGCAGCAATTCAATACCTAGACGGGGCCAGCAGCGGCTGCAGGGGAGAGAAGCACCTGTCCGTGCACCTGGCCAAAGTGTCCTATCCCTTGCCGCAACAGCTGCTGAGCTGCAGCAGCAGCAGCAGCAGTCCCAGAAGCGGCGGCAGCAGCAGCAGCAGCAGGTGCAGCTGCAATCGCTGCAACGCGGCCCTTCCATTTGACGAAGCAGCAGTAGAAAGCGCTGCCGCTGCTGCATTTATTGTCCCGCGCAGCAGCACAGAAATGCCAGCCTCTGCAACAGCAGTAAGAGCAATAGAAAGGCAATCAACCGAAGCAGCAGCAACGGGAAACGAAGCACGAACAGCAACAGGAGCAGCAGCAGTATCAACAACAACAAATACCGCGTCTCTGCTACGGCACATTTCGACCTTCCTTTCGCTGATACACGGGCAGCAGAAGAAGCTTCCTTTTATGAAAATCGTCAGCTGCTGCTGCTGCCCTACTCGCCGTTGCTGGGGCTTCTGGGTGTGCTGCTACTGCTGCTGCTGTTTGTGACACCATATTGGCTCCTTGCTGCTGCAGCGCGTCGTTTTTTTGCTGCTGCCTTCGCTGTAGCCGCTTCTTCCCTAAGCTAGGCGTTGCTGTTGTTCTTCCTAACTTGCTTGTTTGGTGCAGCTGCAGCTGTGGTGCAAAACCTCGAAATGTTTTCTGCTGCTTTGTTTGCCGATGGTGCTTCCGGCTCTGGTGCTACAACAGCCAATAAAATTGCTGCTGCTGCCGCCGTTGCTGCTGCTGCTCCTGTTGTTCGCGTCTCAGGCGGCCCGTGGCAGGGGCTTCGCAGCAGCAAAGGAATTGACAGAGTCCCTAGGTGTCGCTATAGCTATGTGAGCACTCGACAACTTGGTACTGCTGCTGCTGCTGCTCTCATGCTGCTCCTTCTCTACCAGCAACAATGCGGCAACAGCATAAGCAGCGGTGGTAGCACACTGTGTAGTGATGACAGCAGCTGCAGCTGCTGTAAATGCTGCTGCTTCAGCTGCACTGTGAGTGTGTGAGTGCGGTGTGCAGGCAATCTGCTGTAAAGACGCTTTCAGTTTCTCTGAATGATGTCTCTGCGTTGGTCTTCATTCCTGGCGACGGACAGCACCCCGTCAGACTTGAATGAAACGAAACTGCTGCTGCTGCTGTTGACGCTGCTGCTGCTACTGCTGCTGCGTATGTATCTGACATGCAACAGGAAAAACAGCCTTGACAAACTAAAGCTTGCGACAACGAAAAAAATGTAGCAGCGTCTGCAGTCGCACCGGCTGCCGTCTCAGCTGCTGCTGCTGCAGGAGCAAAGCCTGCGACTATGCCAGCTACTGCAGCGAGGAAGAGCCCCGCAGCAGGCGTTGGCCTACTTGAGTGTGCTTGCGCTGCAGAGGACTGCTGCTGCTGTGTGTCTGCAAACGCCCCCCTCGTGGCGCTGCATATCGATAGATCCCCGCATGCAGCAGCAGCAGCAACAAAACACGGGGCCTCCCGCCGCTGCTGGTGTTCCTGGATGCCGTTTTGCGGGGGTTGTTGAAGATCGCATCTTTTGTTTCCAAGGGAGAGCTGAGGCATTTTGCATTCACTCACTTGACACCATTTTGCAGCAGCAGCAGCAGAAGCTGCAGCCAGACGTAGTTGTACTGCTGGGGGTTCACTCGCACGCGCCGTTGCAACAGTTCTTTGAGCGGCTGCTGCAGCACTACGGAGAAACCGCCTCTCACTTTGTTGCTGTGTCTCTCCCCTGTTGTGGTGAGCTGCTGCCATTGCTGCTGCTGCTGCTGCGGTGTGCAGCTGCATCGGGGAGCAAAGTTTGCGTCTCCTGCTGGTGTTGCGTTCAGGGTCTTGCGGTTTCCTAAAGGCCCCTCTAGTCTCTCGGTATAGGGACCCGGGGATTCTGTCACCCCAGAATGAAGTTTACGTACACCACCTCCCGTCTCCTGCAGCTGCTGCTGCAGCTGCTTCCAGTGCAGCTGCTCGCGCAGCAGCTGCTGCAGCTACTGCAGATGGGCGGGGCTAGCACGAGAACACTCTGATGCGGCCGCTGCAGCGGCACGTTGTCACGTGCCAGTGATGTCAAAGCTACTGCCGCTGCTGCTGCTGCTGCTGCTGCTGCAGTGTTCTTACACCCGGTTCAGGCACAGCTTCAAAACCACAGCTAGTGCCGCGCAGCAAGCAATAACTATGGAGAAAAGAAACGGCACAGAGCCCAGTTGGGGTCTTGCTACTGCCGATGCTTCTGCTGACCCTGGTGCGGAAGGTCCAGCAGAAGTGTTTCTGGCACCTGCCGAGGTTGCCTCCTGTGCTGCTTGAATTCGCTGCAGCGCAAACACAGCAGCAGCAGGCCCGAAAGCAGCATCAGCTTCGAGCAGCGGCCGCAGCAAAGCCAGCAAAAAGTGCAGCGGCCAGAACCCCATCTATAGGCATCGACGATATAAGGGAATAAACATAAGTTTGACGTGAATGAAGCGGCTCCAGTCGAGCCCAAAAAAGCCAAACGAGAAGCGCTAGACAATGCGAGTGTCATATGCAGTCACGCACAAATATATTTACATTTTTATGTGTGTTTAAACACATATATATATGCTTAAACTGTGCATATGAGTATACCGCAGTGTGAAAGATCCTGCCCTAGAAAACTCCAGGCAATAGAAATAAGAGCAAAAAGAAATAGGAACCGGGGGGGGGGCTGGAGGTGAAAGACAAAGAGGAGCGCAAAAGCAGCACCGAGCCACATAGACCCGCACAGCCAAGCTGTAGCAAACTTACTGAACTGTGAGGGTGCATGCGAAAAACAAAGCGACACGACAAAGAAAGAACAGAAAAGAAACAGGAAAGAAACGACAAGGCTCGAGGACCCGGAATGGGGCATGCAGATGCAGCAATTTGGGGGAAAACAGATGGAAAAAGATTCAGAGATACCGTGACAGCAAATGGCGCCGTAGAGACACAAATAGTGGTTTCTAGAAGCGGAGGCGCCCTTATAAAGCACTATTTGCCTGTTCGGTGCCATAGCGACACAAATAATGCTTTTGCAAGAGATGCAGCAGGCAAACTTCAGACAAAGAGGCAGGATTACTTCCATCAGCGCCATTTTTATTTCCTTTTCACGCGCATTCTTTCTCATCTCTCGAAATAGTTTAAACTATTTGGTCTACTTGGTCGTGATGCTCATTTTGTTATTGCTTACAGGGATGAATTCAGGAAACAGGCGCCTAAAGGTGCTGCTGTTCATACAGGCCGCCCCGGACTCCCGAGCCAAACGGCGGCGCTCCTCCCGCGAGGTGGAAATAGACCCTAGAGCATTTGTAGCACCCTCATCTGGAGCAGCAGCAGCAGCAACAGAAGCGGCACAGGCAGCAGATCCAAAGACAGCTGCTGTCACTGCAGAAACAGCAGCAAGCATCCACTGCATCGGCAGCAGCTTCTGCTGCTCCTACTTGTGCGGCTGTATCACCATCAGCAGAAGCAGAATCACGTACCCAGCATAAAAGAAACGAAGCCGGTAAGCAGCGTTTCAATTTTCCACGATGGGTTCCACAGCTCCTGAAGTCAGCGGCAGCAGCAGCAGCAGTAGCAGCGGGACTTAACGCGCAGTTAAACCCTCGAGCAGTCGCACACAGGGAACCGGGGGAGCTGCACGCCCAGCAACAGGGACCGGGGCAAACGCAAAACCCAGAACTGCAGCAGCAGAAGGGAAGCAGCAGCAGCGGCACCGGATGGAAGTCCGTGAAGGACAAGCAGAGTCTTGTATTGACTTCGAAACGGCCGTTTGGAGTCAGGAGCAAAATTGAAGGAGGCGCAAACGGATATGTGGGCGGAAACACCTGCAGCAGCAACAGCAGCACGCAGAAATGTAAAGCAAACAATTACAGCGAAGGCAGCGTCAAGTCCAAATGCAGTAACTGCTGCAACAAGAGCTGCGCAAGCAGCAGCAGCACCAACGGCAGCAGCAACAGCAGCCTCAACAGAAGCAATAACAGCAACGCCCATCCCCGAGCGTCTTGTTGTCACCGGCATTCGTTTTCAGGCCCATGAGTAGAAACCGCAGCAACAGCAACAGCAGCAGCATCAGCAGTGGCAGCAACAACAGCAGCAGAGTGCTCTCACGATCTTGCCCAAGTAGAATCCGCCAACGAAAGGCGTGTCTGCCGGCAGGTCGTGTCTGTAGCACCAGCAGCAGCAACACGATCAGCTGCAGTAACAGCAGCAGCAGCAGCAACAGCAGCGGCAACAGCAGCAGCGTCGCCAATCGCATGGGAAGCAGCAGCGCTGCAGCAGCAACGCAAGGCCAAGGAAGCAACGCACCGAAACTGCGCTGCGCCAGCTACGAAAAGAAGAAACAGAAATGAAGTCAAAAAAGAAACTAGGAGAAACAGAAAACAAGAAACAAACATAAACGTAGAAAGAAACAGAAACAATTAGAGAAACAGAAACAAAGAAAGAAACGGAAATAAGGCGAGAAACAGAAACAAAGACACAAACAGAAGCAAAGACAGAAGAGGAAAACAGAAGCAAGGAAAGGAATTGGACACAAAAATAGAGACACAAACAAAGCACCGAGTCGAAAAGAAAGATAAAAACAAGAACCAGCAGCAGCGCAGCGATTTGGAAAGGCACCATGGTGTGGAAAGCAGCAAAGAGAATTCAAGCTGAGCAGCCAGGGAGCAGCAGTGCAGCAGCAAATGGCAACTGAGAAAACGAAAACAAACTCGGGAAAGTAAAAAAGAAACGCACATGAGAAAATACCAAGTCAGCAAGTCATCTCCATTTGGCTTGGCCTCGATATTGGGCAGCGGCTCCGACTGAAGAGAACGCCACTCCCGCCGCAAACGGGCTGCTGCTGGGCTCGAGGCCATCTTCTGCTGCTGCTGCTGCTGCTGCTGAAGATAAGAAGAGGAGGAATTGGGGAAGGCTGCTGACGCTGCTGCGTTACTTCGTGCGGCTGTGCCCGAGGCGGCAGGTGTTCAGTCGGCCGCAGCTGCTGTATCTGCAGTTGCTGCTGCTGCTGCTCGAGACTCGGTTACTGATGCTGTTGCAGAGAGTGCAGGAGTTACGGAAAATGACATCTGCAGCTGCTTCCGCACGAGTTGTCCGTGCTGCCCGCTGCTGCTGCCGTTGCAGTGTTTGCAACTGATATCAAAGACCGTGATGCCCGTGACGCCGAATCAGCTATCGGCTGCTGTCGCTGCTTCTGCTACATGTCTCACGACAAAACACAGTGGGATATAATGTGCCAAAAGTAGTAGCAGCAATGAATGGAGCAGCCGCGGCCGAAGCAACGGCAACTGCCACACGGGCTGCTGCAACGAGAGCAGCAGTTGGCGAGCGCAGCAAGTGAAGCTACAGAATATAAATGTAATGAATTCGTTGAATCAAAATAGGGGATTCCAGTGAATTGCGCCACATGCCTTCCGTATTTCCCTAAATCATGGGCTCATACTTCTCTTGCATGCATGGCAGCAGCAGCTGCAGCATAGCCCTCATAGCTTGTCTTCCGGCAACTAGCGGTCTTAAAGAGCCGCTTGATCACCCCAAGGTGAGTTTTGCTGTTGTTATCCCAACAACACACAAGGCCTTAGGTTGGTTTGGTGGTGCAGCTGTCGCTGCTGCTGCAGCTGCTGCAGCAATTGTCAAGCAAAGCCTGTGACTTCCGTGGCAACAACTACAGCAGCAGCAGCATTGCTACAGCGGCTGCAGGGAATATATCTTTTTTTGTACTGCTGCCTTCGCTGCTATCATTGCAGCGCTGGAGCTGCGGCTCCATTGCGGGGCCTGAGGACGACTGACGAGGGGACTCGCCGATACCTTCTGCAGCAGCAGCAGCAGCAGCAGTGACGACAGATGCTGCTGCTGTTACACGTGCTGCTGCTGGCGCAACAATGGTCAAAGCCGGCGCCGCTGCAGCAACTTCAGCTGCAGCAGTAGTTGCTGCAGCAGTAGTCGCTGCACCATCAGGTGCAGCAGCAGTAACGGCGCTAGCAGCTATGAAGAGATCCCGCTTATATCCCTGTACACCTGGGAGTGTCCCTCTAGACACATACTTGCTGCTGCTCTTACTGCTTGTCGGTTTTGGTTTCCTTGCTGCAGCTGCTCTGCTGCAATGGCACAACAGCAGGGCCCCCCGCGCTTCTGCTACCCTTGCAGCAGCAGCAGCCAGGCCCCGCAGCGGCTTAATGGGGGGTGGAGCTCTTCGCTCGAAGCTGCTATTGTTGCTATCAGCTGCTGCTTTTTTTCGGGCTGTTTTGCTGCTGGTTATGCTTATTCTGTTACTTATGCCGTTGCTGCCGCCGCAGCGGCAGTCGCAGCAGCAGCGTCTGCCGCCGTTTCAGCAGCAGCAGCTGCGGCAGAAGCAGCTGCAGCAGTCACAGCAAACGCCTTTGTCCACCTACCTAAGTCAGGCTTCAGGTGCAACAGAGCAGCAGCTGCTGCTGCAGCGGCCGCCTCCGGCGCCTGACGGCCAAGGCAACTTGATAGCAGCAGCAGAAGCAGCAACAGCTGCATCAGCAGCACGAAGCGGCCTGTCGAGCGTCAGGTCTGGGGCTCTTCAGGGAGAAAGCTCTGCTGGTGGTAGAACGCCAGACTCTACAGCAGCAGAAGCAGCAGCGGGAGAAGCAGCAGCAGCAGCAGAAGCAGCAGCAACAGCAGCAGCAGCAGCAGCAGCAGCGCAGCACGGTGGCATGTGGCCATCTCCCCTGCAGTGCGCTTCTGTGGATATTTGGTGGAGCACTCTGCTGCACTTTACTCCCTCGCTGCTGTTTGTGTCTGTCTTTTTACTGCTGGGGGCTTTCGCGTGGCAGCTGCATGCAGCAGCGACGCTGCGGCGCAGCAGCAGCAAGATTGGACCTGCTGCTGCGCTTGCTATAGCAGCTGCGGGCTTCATTGCCTTCATTCTTGCGGCGGCCTTCAGCTACAGCCAGGCATCGCAGCACTTGTTTCAAAGGTACGTTCTCGATCTGCAGCTGCTGCTGCTGTCAAGAGCTGCTGCAGTTGTTTCCGCTGCTGCTGCTCCTACAGATGCCGCTGTTGCTCTTGTGGCTGTTTCTGTCGCTGCTGCTGCTCGAACAAACCTCGCAGCTGTGTGTCCGTTGGCAGCTGTTGCTGATGCTGCTGCTACAGGTTAGCGTGCGTGATAGTTGGGAGCCTGTACGTGTTTACTTCGTTGCTGCTGCTGCTGTTTGGCGGTCTTGTGCTGCGGGAACTGCGGAAGAGAGATGCGCAGCTGCGGCAGCCACTGCTACAGCTTCAGGAGCAGCAGCAGCTGCTGCAGCAGCAACTGCAGCAGCAAGAGCTTGCTGCTGCTCAGAGCTCCACAGGGTCGCATCTAGGAGACTACGTGCTAATGCAAATCTTGGGCATCCCGTCGAACCAGCAGCGACAACAACAGCAGCAGCAGCGCATCAGCAGAAGCAGCAGCAGCATCCACTCAGTGCAGATGCCACTCGCCACTGCTCCTGCTGTTCTCGGTGCTTTGCCACCCCCTATCGGCAGCACCAGCCTCGACGAGTTGGGCAGAGAAGCGCGCTTGCGGCTTTTGCTGCTGACTTCCTGCTGCCCGCCGCTGCTGCTGCTGCTGGGCGTGTATCTTCTGATGGTGGGGCTGTGGGGCCAACATATGTACCCTGCTGTTGTTATGAAGCATCGGCAGCAGCTAACGTTTGATTTGCTGCTGCTCTTTGTTGCTGAATTGCTTCCTTCTCTTATTGTTTTCAAGGCCTTCACGCCCACCAAGAGCGGCACCAGCCACAGCCGCAGCCCCAGCAGCATTAGCAAGAGCACAAATCTAGTTTATCACACGCTTTCCTACGACCAGCCTGTGAGCTTCTGGGATGCTGCGGCAGGCAGCAGCAGCAGCAGTATGCGGGTGTACCCGCAGCTGCAGCAACAGCAACAGCAGCAGCGGCAGCAGCAACTGCAGCAGCAGCACAGGCAACAATACATGCAGCCGCCGCAAATGGGGGCCCTACAGATACTGCAGCAGCACCTGCAACAGCATGAAGCAGGCACAGACTCCTCTTGTCTCAGCAGCAGCTGTGGCCACCAGCGCAGCAATGGCAGCGGGGAGGAGGCCAGCAGCAGCAGCCCTAGCAGCAGCAGCCGCAATACCAACAGCAACCCCACCTGTAGCAGCGACATGTCGAGCTTCTACGGCGCGGTCCAAAACACAGAAAGAGACTCCTTCTCCTAAATAGGGAGCGACAGCTAGTCACCCGACTGGCTAGCCGCCCAGCCAGCTAGCTGACAATTTGGGCAGCTCGCGAGCGAGCTAGCTAGCAGACTAACGTGCTAGCTAACAAGTTGGCTGCCAGGTTAACTGCAGATCTGGCTAGCCAGCTGTGGTTAGCCAGTAGACAGAACATCCTGTGGCTCTAGACTTCAGGGTTTAGGGTTCGGGACTTGAAACAGCTTTTCGGTCCGCCACTTGTACTGGAGTGTTGGCTTCTATCACCTGAGGTGTACGGACAGCTCCGGCTAACTAGTTAGCTAGAGCCCAAGTGACTCGTGGCTTGCGCATTACATGCCCACGAGCAACGTCGAATTAACCAGTTTGCTAGCTAGTTGCTGCCTGCGTCGCGTTGCCACCTTCGTAGCCAGCTAGCAGACTACACGATGACCTCGCTAGCTAGCCAGGTGGCTAGCGTGCAGCGTGCAAGCAACATAGGTAGTAGCTGACAAGCTTGCAACGTAGATAGCTAGCAGCTAGCTAGCTAGGTACCTCTGTAGCTACCTTTTTGCGCAGCGTGCATAGGCATGTCCAGTAGACGCGACGCCCTCAATCTCCGCCCTTGTCTGTCTGTCTGATCAGTCATTTTTCATATATTTCAATCTTAAGCTTTGACCCCACTTCATCGCTCTCTCGTTTGGCGTATGTACAGGTTTGTCGTATGTTTCCTTTGTGTATAGTAGTATGTAAATACATCATGGGTTCTATGTATTCCTATAAACATGTTCATGTATCTGTTCCACTGACTCACGGCGTCTGTACACTGCAGTTTTATTGTGTGGGTTTTGAAGTTTCCTTAAAATAAACAAAATGGCACAAGAAAACGCAAACAGCAAAGCGGGATGAAACAAACAAAGCCAAAGATACTCCTGTCCGTTGCACATCTGCAGCGTTCGCAGGTCTGTTTCGTCTAGTCTTTGTTTTTGCCCACTTATGCTTGGTTGGTTCACCACCAAGCTTCACTAGTTTCTCTTCACGCGCCTGTCTAGATTTCGCAATCACCTGACTCTTCATGTTTTCAGTCGTCACTGCTTTCCTCGCTATCGGACTCTGCTCCTGCGACGCCTGAGAGCCGCACAAAACGGCAACATAAACAGTTTCAACAGGAGTAGACAAATAAACGTGATTTAAACGCATCTAAGTGTACGGACAAACTGGCAAGTTTGCTTCCGCACAAACAGATAAGAACGAACCAAGGAAATACAAGGGCGATAAACAAATGCGTCTGCCTCTTCGGGAAAGGACGGGTTGAGAAAACAAATGGCTAAATAGCAAATAAAAAACCTAATTAATGTGGAAAACACCCACCAAGGTAGACGCCTATGGCCTTCGGAACAATTATGTCTCTTATGACCACTGCCATTTCGTATTCGGTGCTCAGCCGCTTGAACAGCAGACGGGCTTCCTGAGAACAAAAACAGTAGGCAAGCAAATGAGCCCTTTGCCCTTTTTAATCGCCTAAGCTCGTCTTCCGATTACCCAAGAGTGTAGTTGGAGTTGACGGGGCATTGAACTGCGTTGTCTGGGTACATGAATTGCTAGGTGATTGCATAGTTGAGCGTCGATATGTATATATACTAATGCATATGCAGGCGTATACACGTGCAGATAAGTAGGTGCGCAAATGAATACATATATACATACATAGACACATACATAATATATATATAATATATATATATGCATACGCGTGTGTGTACGAATGCACAGCTCACATCATCTCCCATAGCCCTAATTGCTCTATTGGATGGCACTTGTGTGTTCTCGAAGAAATTAAAAAACGAATTCTCGCTTGTTATATTTTTGACGATTCGAACTTCCCGAGTCCGAAGGTTCCTCTGCTTGCTTATCCTCACGGACTTCGTGAGATCCTGAAGTCAGCACAGTGCAGTTAACACGGAAGCATTGTGTTAAGCACGTGTGAAATAACTGTTTGCTGCAGGGCTGAAACATCTATTATAGCGTGGCAAATGCAGCCACTTCTCCACAACTGGTCCGTGCAGCTTACTGCTGACTAGTTTTAAGGACAGGGTACAATTAATGTTGCCGAAGCATTGATAAAGTTTCCCAAGGTTATGTGGTGTGATTGAAAGTGCCAACCCCGTTAAACTAACAGTGAATCAAAAATCTAGGATGCCGAGATAATAATGACACTAAATTCACTCATCTTTCGGTTCCAGGTAAGCTAAGCATAGCTTCTCCATGTTACCTGTGCAGTACGATGCACTTAGTAGTCAGATACCATACGCCTACGTGGTAGGGTAGAGCACAGCGCGATATATGCAAGAAGGAATGATTGAAACCATTTGTACCCACGAGTAAACCAGTGAGATGCGATCGGTGCTACGTAGCGCTGCAGTGCTTTCCGTTTTGCTTCACGGCAAATGCCCAAAATATCGGAATGCAGATAAGACAAAAGGACAAAGAGGCTGCCAGATTAGTACAACTTGCACTTCATATTCAAACACGGCAGCTGCAGGCCTTTCTGTTGGCGCTGCATTGTCATTCCACTACTGCGCCTGCCACCCTCATTATTACATTCATGAGCACTCCAACTGAATCCCAACTGGCACGTGCACACGCACACAGCTTAGCTCCAAGCTCCTTAATTGGCTAGCGAGTCAGTAAGCTAGCTAACCAGCAAGCCAGCCAGCTAGGTTTGGTGTAAGAACTATAAGCGCTCTGATTCCCCTTAATAGCCTTTAATCCTCTGTCTGTCTCCATGTCTCAGGCCTCAGCCCCAGAAATTAGGGTTCACATTTTCAGTTCGGGCGTTGGGGCTCGTAGTGTGCGGCAGGCGGCCTACCATTCCTTCATTCCAGTGTATCTCGGTGCCAATAGTTTTGGCGACAACCGCATCGTCTCCTTGTTTCTGCATGCAGATTTCTTTGCTGAGGACTCTATTCGAAAAGAAAGGATTGGCAGCAAAGACGAAAGAAACGCTGAAGCCATCTTCCTTCCGCAGCCTCTTGTCGGCTCTTACGTCTTCAAGATACAGCAGGCACGCGCGATCCCCAGAGCTTAGAGATCTGGCTGTGTGCGCCTCGCGCTCTAATACACTCAGCCAAAACCCAGGCAGGCCAGGGGTAGCCACGGAGTAGCCTGCTGATGGCGTCACTGCTGTTTCTGCTTCTGCGGCTGCTGCATTTTCTGGAGCTGCTGCAGACGGTAACGGTGCTTGTGCTGGCTGTGACGGGGCCGTTGAGGCAAGCGTGCTGCTGGGGGCCCCTGCTGCTGCGGCGGCGGCTGTTGCAGCTGCCGCTGCTGCTTCCAGCTTGCTGGGACTCGACAGCAGCTGAGCACGTTTCTGATACAAGGGCAGGAGGCGTTTCTCGTGCTGAAACCTGGCGAAAGACGCAACGGTAATAATGACAAATATCACAATAAAACAGGGTGAAAATAGCAATACGCACAGCAATAGATGCTTCTAACACAAAAATAAATAGTAGCAATAATAATAATAGTAGTGGCAATAATAGTTGTACTAAATATCCAGACCTCACTAAACAGCGACAAGACAGACATTTGGCATAAACCCACAAACAGCACCAGGCCTAAGGTTCGGGGCATGAGATTCGCTACCTTAGGAGCTCTACTTCTTGTTCGAATTCCGTTTCTAGGGTTTGCGCCTCTTCATCGAGCTGTTGCAGCTGCCCCACCAGCAGCCTCTGCGAATGGTTCAGCTGCTGTAGCAAAGGAGGCTCGGACTCTGTTTCCGTTTCTGTTTCCGAACCTCCCTCAGAATTTGACTGGGAAGAAATAGAAGGGGCTTCGCCTCTTAGCACCCGCAGCGCCTCAGCGAAGGCGCGGCGGGTGTCATCTGCGTGCTGCACCACGATGGTAGGCGATTCTGCTGCTACGGGTCCAGTCTCTGCTGCTGTTGCTTCTCCTGCTGGTTCTCGTTCAGCTTCGGGTCCCGCTGCTGCGGCTTCTTCTCTTGCTGCGCCCGCCGGTTCAGGTTCTGCTGGTGGAGCTGCTTCAGCTTCGGCTGCGTTTGCTGCTGCTGCTTCTCTTTCTTTCCTTAGTCTGTCCTCTTCTTCCTTTTGCCTCTCCAACTCCTTTTGCTTCAATAGTTCTTCTTGCTTCTCGATTTCCCTTTGTCTCTCTAGTTCTCTCTGTCTTTCCATTTCCGCTTGCCTTTCCATTTCCTTCTGCTTCTCTATTTCCTTCTGACTTTCTATTTCCTTCTGTTTTTCTACTTCCTTTTGCCTTTCCATTTCCTTTTGCTCTTCTTCCATTTCCTTCTGCCTCTCTATTTCCTTCTGTTTTTCTATTTCCTTTTGTCTTTCTACTTGCTTCTGCCTTTCCATTTCTTTCTGCCTTTCGATTTCCTTTTGCCTCTGTATTTCCTTCTGCCGCTCCAGCTCCTTCTGCTTCTCCGCTTGCATTTGTCTTTGCCTCTCTGCCTCCTGCAGCTCCTGCAAAATGTCGGCTGCTGTTTTGTCGCTCTGCCTTTTCCCACTTGTGGGTGAGGGGGGAGTTGGGGGTCTCTCTTTTTCTTCTGCAAATATATCCAGGTCTACGGAGTGTGCGCGCTTGAAATCTATGGCTGTTGAGTTTTGCTGCTGTTGCTGCTCTTGCTGCTGGTCCTTCTGCTGCTGCCCCTGTTGCTGCTGCTCAGGCTGCCGTTCCTTCTGCTGCTTTGGATGCTCCTGCACCGGACGTTGCTCCGGCTTCTGCTCCTGCTGTTGCTCCGGTTGCTGCCGCTGCTGCTGATCATGCTCCCCTTGCTGCTGCTTTGGTTCCCCTTCCTGGGACCGCAATTGCTGCTTCTGTTCCTTCTGCCCTGCGTCTTGCTGATGAGATGCTTGCTGCTGTGGATCAGAAGCTGGCGGCTCCTGCTGCTGTTGCTGCTGCTGCTGCTGTTCTTGCTGCTGCTGCTGCTTCTCCACGGCCGCCGCCGGGGATTCCTGATCTGCTTCTGGAACATCAGACCCCTCCTTCAAGGAGGAGTCGCGACCGCCTTTCTTCCTCCCCATTCTAAGCTCTTAAGGTGTCAGGTGCAGGCAGGGGTAGGGCTTCTGGTTAAGGGTAAGTCAGTCACCGCGAGGAGAGCTTTGAGTGATATGTGCTGAATTTGAAGCCAGAAGCCTCTATTTCTTTGCCATGAACGCCTCGGTGCATCGGTATGGCAGGCCGTTAGGCTCAAGTCTCTGACCCCGAGCCTTAGTCGCTGGTCCTTAGTAGCTTTATCCTGGGAACGCTGCTAGTAAGACAGCAGCAAGCCACCTGCAGGTGCTGCTGTGACAATGCTGTGTGGCTACTTCGAGCCATCTGCAGGCGCAGCAGCTGCAGTAGCCGCTGAAGCCGCGGCAGCCACAGCAGCCACACCAGCAGCACCAGCTAGACGGAACAGTTAGGGTGAGGAGGCCTTGCGGTGTACAGGAAGCAGAATGTGCACTAAGGCAAACAACCGAAAACCGAAAAGTTTACCTAGACACACCAGTGTGTGTGTAAGGCCAATGTACACGTCAGCATGCAGCAGCAGCAACTCCATCGAAAGTCGCGGCAGCAGCTGTAGCAGCAGCAGCCAGCTGCAGTTCCTCCTGCTTCTGACCCACTGGCAGCAGCAGAAGCAACAGCATGCCGATTTGATTCAACATTTTCCCTATTTCTTAGTTTTTTCCAATGAAATTTAATTCGTGAACACCCTGACCAGCAAGCTGGTGACGCACACGGGCCAGTGGTCCGCGGCCATGGGGTTGCTGCTGCTGCTGCCCAGACTCCGTGCTGCCTCTGGAACTGTCTGCCCTGTATTCTAGAACATGCGACGACAGCTGCTATTGCTGCGTCTGTTGCTTTGAGTCTAGTTGATATGCTAATCAAGGAGGGTGGCTTTGGATGTTGCGGTTCCTTGTTAAGCTGGCGTTGCTGTTAATACTTGTGCTGGTGTTTTTTGTCACTGTTGCTGTCGATGCTGTTATTCCACCTGCTGCCATTGCTAACACTTCTGCTGCTTACGTTAGCGCTTCTATTACTGCTGCTCCCTCTGTCTATGCTTTCGCTGTTGCTGCTTTTTTCTGATTGTAGTGTTTGAGCAGTCGATGCTGCTGGTTTTGTAGGTCGTGGAGTTGCAGATACTTGTTTTGGTGCTGCAGCTGCAGGAAGCCGCAGTAATTCCGCTACTGCTTTCTCTGTTAGTGCCTTCTTTTTGGGCGTTAGGAGGCACTGAGAGCTGGCGCTGCGGCAGTTGCTCGTACTGCCGCTGCTACTTCTGCTGCTTCTACACACGGAGAGCAGTATCATTCTTGTTGCTACTGCTGCCTCGAGTTGCTGTTGTCGGAGCGGATGCTGTTGTCCCAGTCGCTTAGAGCCCAGCATCGGGATATTGCGTTGCTGTTGCTGCTTCACTTAGTGTGCAGCCGGAGCAGCGCAGCACTGCTATGTTCAACTGAACGTGTTCGTTGTTGCTGCCGTCGCAGGAGCGTCTGCTGCTGCTTCGTATGGTGCTTCTTCCCCTATTGTGGGCTCTGCTACTGCTGCTAGACCAGATGCGGCTGTATCATTGCTCTGCTGATCCTGCATACGCTGCCTTTGTAGCTAGTTCCGCTCCGTGAGAGGCTGTTGCTGCGCTTCGTCACGAGATGGCGTAGGTGGTGGTGGTTGTGTTGTTGCTGCTAGTGTTGCTGCTAGTTGAGTCGCTGTGTTGCTGCGGCAGGCTGCGGTAGTGCAGAGTTATGCAGAAGCGCTTCACTTCAGTTGGCAGCGCTCCCCGCAGTCACACCGACCTTTGCAGCAGCAAATGCGCTTGCTGCAGAAGAAGCAATTGCAGCTCTTGCTGCAGCATGTGCGGCAGTACCTTTTACTGCAGCGCAGCTCTAAAAGCCGCTGCAGCAGAAAATGACTCCTATGGAGCTACAGCACTTTTAGTTATCGACAAAGTACGTAAATTCGGGGTAAAACTGCCCCTTGTTATTTTACTTTTAATTCTTAGGCTAATGCCCCAAGCAATGGGCTACCTAGGTACCTGGCTGAGAGCTCGGTGGGTAGCTAATCAACTTTCGACTCAGCTAGCGAAGTAGGTCGCCTCTAGCTAGCTGAGCTAACTAGGCAGGTAGCTATTTAGCCAAGCTTCAGTAATCCTGTTCCTGAGGGCAGGAAAAGTGAGGGTAGCAGAGCACTGAGAACAAATGGATCTCTTTGCGAAAACTTTTGCTGCTGCTGCGGCCAAGGTGTGCTGCTGCTGTAGTCCAGTATTGCCTGGGACTCTCTGCAGAGCGTCACGGACCTTTTCAACTAAAATGCATGCGGAAGAAATTCAACCCTAGCCCGTTGAATAAAAGTTACGCCTTAATGTAGGGAACAAAGGCTCCATTGGACGCTACATCTGCTGCTGCTGTTTGTTGTGCTGCTGCTGCGAACCACGCTTTTGCTTCAGCTACTCTTCGTTTTGCTGCTGTGCACTGCATTCATGTTATGGCTGCTGTCGCAGGCTTTGCACCTCGAGTTGATGCCCTAGGCGTTGTAAGTATTGAAGACAACCCTGCTGGAAACCACTCACGAAAGGGGCTTATTGGTGAAAGGAAGCAGATTATGACACTACTTTGAGGGTTCTGTCTAGAAAGCGGAAGATTCTAGAGAGTGGCATTGATTCTATGCATAATAAGAACACTGAAATAACACACATTAGGAATAACAATACGTAAGGCCTTCAAGCGACCCTGCAGTGACCCTGGTGCTGGCAGCCTGGGGGCCCTGCAACTCCACTGACGGCGTTTGCGGTTGACTTGACCCGTATCAGGCAACAGCGCCTGAATTCCGATGCACGAAAGCGTAAGCTGCAGCGCTCTTGCGCGCTTATTTCCTAACATGGATAAGTTCGGGATGGTCAGCGGGGGGCTGTGAACCTGTTGGGGGAAGGTTTAGCCTCTACATCTACACTTCAGATCAAGTGCGCTGAGTGACTGGTTTGCGCTTTGGGCATTTTGAAGGAGCAAGAGAGTGCGGCCTACTGTGGTGGATTATCGATTTCATTAGTGATGGCTCTTCCGTAGTCCCTAGCTCCAGAACCGTGCGCGTCAAGCTTTAGCTCATAATAACTGAGATAATCACATTATATTCACGTTTTTAGAGGATTTCAACTACTCAAAGAGGTCTCCCATAATCGCCAGAGCTTGAGGGCCCCTCTAGTTCAGCCCCAGGGCCATCGCGTCCATTGGAGCCCCTTTTGTCGATTTCTACAGCAACAAAAAGTAAATTTTCGCGGTGTCAATCTATTTTTCTACCTTTCAGCCCAGCATTTGTGGTTTGGGGCTAAGGTGCCTGGCTGCACAGCAAAGCGCCGTCAAACGAGTCGGGACCGTCGAGCTGCTCACGTTTGCAGCGGCAGCAGCGGCAGCAGCGGGAGCAACGGCAGTAGCGGCCTCACCTGCAATGGCAATGAAAATATCAGCAACAAAATCAGCTGAAGCACGAGAAACGTCCCCAACAACAAACTGTGGAGTGTGAGCAACAACAGGATAAGTAACAGCTGGTATCCAGCAGTAGTAGCCGCAGCAGAAGCAGCAACAGTGGTTCCAGTTTCAACAATAGCACCAGCGGCAGCCGATGCTTCTGGGGTTGTTGCTTGTGAAATACGGCAGCCATCGCAGGTAGGATCCCGGAGCACTATTACTGCCGCTCCCAGCGTAGGGTCTACGGTTTAGGGCCCAAGTTAAAAGATTTATAGGATGAAGGGCACCTTATTTGGAAACTGGGATTGGCTGAAGTACCTCACGAGGGTGCACGTGAAATACTCGAACAGGAGGCCGCACACAAACCAAAACGCAAAGTATGCGGATGTTGCCGCTGCTGTCTTGTGGTAGAGGCTATTGCTGCTGCTTTTGTTCTAGCGGAGCACCGACAAGCTGCTGGAGCTGCTGCTGCTGTAGCTACTGCGAATTCTGGCTGTGGCTGCGCTGGTCCTGAAGTCTTTTTTGTTGCTCCTACGGCGATTGCTGCTGCTGCTTTTACTGGCTGGGTTGCTGCTGATGAGGCTGCTCCGTCCTAGCTGCTTCTACCGCTGCGTCTCCAATAGCTGCTGCTGAACATATATGTCCAAACTGATGCTGTTTCTGAGTAGTTTGTATCGACTTTGCCCAATAGATATTTGCGTGGCTTGCAGGGACCTCATCTTGCGCCTCTGCAGCACCAAAGTGCAACAGAAGTATCCGCAGCTGAAAGTTAGCTGGGAGTTACTAGACTATGACGCGGCTGCTTCCGTCGAAGTGACTCTAGTGAATGGACAGACGCACAAGTAAGTGAATTTGCATCAGGGCGTGGTGTGTATTTATGCTGTGGTGCTCAGGCCCTCGTGCAGTGGTTTGGCCTAGCGCGGCTAGGCCGAGACTCCAAAATTCAAATTTCGGATTTTAGTATTCGGGTCGGCCTCAAAAGACTTGAGAGCGGACAAGAAGACTTGAAGAAACAAACGGGCAGCACAGACTCTGCTGCTGCGTGCGTGCAGGCAGCTGCTGGAGGGCTACAGCTCAGCGCAGAGGCGCGAAATCATAGACAAGTGGCGCTTTAGCGGTAAGGATTCAGGAGTATGGCTACGATTCAGAGGTCCCGGTGTAGAGCTCCATTTTAAAGCTTTGCGCCAAGGGCTGAGGGCTCAATTTTGCATGCAAGAAGAGCCCCGGAAGAGCCCTGAGAACGCTTGCCGCTGCCGACCAGTGCTGCAGTTCAGCTACTGCAGACAAATCTGCTTGTGCGGCTGTTCGTTTTGCTTTGTGCCGTGCTCGCATCGCAGCTAGTCTTGAGCCGTGGGAGGAAGTTCTGGCGCCGACGCCTCCCGCAACAGCAGCAGCAACAGCAGATCTACAAGGAGATAAGCCGAAATAGCACTAACTACTCCGTCTTGCTGCGGCGTCTGCTGCAGCTGCTTCGGTGCTGCTTTCGCTGCTGCTGCTGGCTATTTCCATATTGTTATTGGTGTTTGCTGCCACCACGAATTCGTCTCTCGTCTCATTTTTACATGCGTGTTCTTACAATTCATATTTAGGGCATGGGGTGTGCTTCTTTGGTTGCACGTGAGGCACTGATAGCGCCTATATATGCATTAAGTTACTGCCTAGACAGCTTTTCTTTAGAAAGACACCTCAAGAATACAAAGTTTATGACACATCATCTAGATTCAAGAAGTCTCTAGAGGTAAGAATGGTTGCTACGGCCAGCCACGGGCAACGCCAAGTTCCGGCGCTGCGGTTCAGGTTGAGGCTTTGAGGCCGTATGCAGCTCAACTTGAGTATGCTCTAACAAGCGAACTAGCCTGCAAGCTAATTACGTGTAGGCAGCCGGTAGTGTTTAATTATCACTTTTTGGAGCAAACTAGAGCAACGGAGTTCTTCCAAGTTGAAGCATGATTAATCGCATCTACGTGATCCCAGGAAGACTTGCGAAAGCTTCCTCAGGCTTGCTTCAGCAGTGCACCAGCTTATCCGCAGCAGCAAGCGGTGCAACAGCAGCATTGGCAGCAGCTTTATCAGATATGTTCTCCCATCCTCAGCTTGCTGCGCCTTCTGCCTCTGGCGAGGTCTACTGCAGGAGGCTTCACCAGCGGTTAGCCTAGTGGCGCTGCAAACTCATGCAAGCTGGCTCCCTAGAGTTGTTAGCTAGCTTAGAGGGTGCCTAGCTAGCAATGTGGGCTGTCACCTCTACAAAGCAGCTGCGGATACTGATCTTCTTGGGATCTTGCATATCTTAATATTTTTGGACAGAGAAGAAAAGAACCCTTGGCGTTTCTCTTTCAGGTTAGTCCTGAGCACTATGACAGCGGGTCTTTGGATAGCTGCAGCAGCGGTAACGACTTCTGCGCAGGCCGATGTGCAATGGTAAGGAATTTAGCGGCTCATAGGGCCCCCAAAGAGATCAGGGCAGCGGAGGGAGAAAACGACGTCCTGGTACTGTCGCTGCAAAGCCCCAACTGCTTGTCGCCATCAGCCCCGCCCATTCTGGTGTTAGTGCTACTGGCGCAGCAGCAGCGGAACAGTTTGAACAGATCTGTGCAGCAAGTATCAATGGAAGGCACAAGGACACTTTTTTCATGCTGGGGCCGGCATTTCATGGACGCCTCCCAAAGCGTCACGTGTTTGCCTGTCTACTGCAAATGCAAAATTATACGTGCCGGCTGAGCACATACAAGAAGCGGCGGCAGGAACAACGTCTCATGCTAGAGGCCTCGTAGGAGCAGCTTTATGATCATGTCGCCTCTGTATCTGTCAGCGAGCGAGCACAGGAACAAACTTGCGAAGAGCCCAAAGAGCGGGCAACCAACCAAAATAAATGAGCCGGCCAGCGCTTTTGTCACCTTGTTATCTTGGGCCACGAGGAAAGCACGAGCAGGCCATCTATGCAAACAGTAAAGAGAGTTGATGGCTAGGTACAAATAGACACTGCCATATTTGAAGCATTTGTATTAACGAGAACTTACTATCTATTGCTCAGATTCTAGTACGTGACGCTTAATTGTTTCTTTAGTTGCTGTGCGTTCCCTAAGGATGAAGAGCAATGCACCAGCCTATGCTATTGCTCCCGTGCATTATTTCGTGCCCCAGGCTTCTTTCTACGGGCTGAATTCGCTGTAAGTTATGAGGCAATTGCGCAAGGTCTTTTGAGCCTCACTTCAAGCATATTTCAGACTTTCTGAACAAGTTCGATGTATAACCTTCGGATTTGCTGTTTCGGAGAAGGGGCTGCGGCGGTCACTGGCGATGGTTGTGGCCTCAAACTGAATTCATTCGCTTTCTTCTGTTCTATTTATCAAATAGAGCTATTCTTATCAATAGTATTTGTCTTACTTTCTTCTTTTGACGTCTTTGTATCTCTACTGTTCTCCCCATGAGCCAGGAGGGACCAGAAGCTCCAGGGCAGATGCCTGAGGCGCCGTGAGCACTTCGAGAGTCACAGCTAGTGTCATCCAGCTGTCAATTCTCACGCTCTACTTAAAACTTATACTCATTTTACATATTTGTCTTTTCGTACAGTTTCGAACATTAAATATAGTATATAGCGCACGGGATGGCTCTTGGCACCACAGGACACAAAGATGGTCACTTTTGAGGGACCTCGAAGGCCCCACAGCCGCCTTGTTTGGATAATCTTCACAACAAAACCAGAGTTTCCCATTAGGCCACAATAATTTGACAAGCTTAAATTATTTACGTCAACAGAATACATGTACTCTGAGCTGTTTTTCCCCTCTCCTGTGCGCCTCCATCAGGCCAAAATTTCCCGCGGAGGCGCAGAAACGCCTAATGTACACGAGAGCCAAAGCGGGTGAAGCCCTCAAAGGTGTCAAGAGCCAGCTTTCTCCAGAGGCGGTTTTGCTGCCCAACGGGGCTTTGGGGCCCCTCAGCGGCCTCTCAAAGGGCCTGTGTGCACTTCCTGCAGGGGCACTCCAAGGAGCAGCGCCAGGGCTCCCCCGTATAGGCGTTTGTTACCCTTCTGATGCTCTTAGCCCTTCGTAAGAGCTAGTAGCTGGATAAATCATATTACAAACTAGGGAATGAGTACTTCTCTGTCTGCTTAAAGTTCAAAGTAACATTCAGCTCTCTGTTGCTAAGCGGAAGCTGCGCATACAGCGAACACCTGAAAGATCAAAGGAAAAAGAAGAAAAATAAAAGCGCCTTAAAACAGACAAAAACGACAAGCAGAACGGAGGGCAAGTGCTCAATCCAAACACCCTGGAGCAGGACCCAGAGAGTGACGAAAAGATAGGCAGCAAAAGAGTGAGGTCTGTGCTCTGGTGTCTCAGGGCACTAACGACGCCTCGAATCTCCCTCACGCCTTCTCATGTTGCTGCTACCGCCACACCGGCCCTGGCAGCACCACCGACAGCAGCAGAGGTGTCCAAAGCTGCCGCTGCCGCTGCCGTTGCTGCCAGCCTCAGCTGCAGCAATATATTCCCTTCCGTTTTCCCTGCAGCGGAAGGGAGTGACAACGTGCTGCTCCCCCAGCAGCAGCAACAGCAGCAGCAGGAGGACAGCTCCATTGGTGGCTTAGCCATATCTGCTGCTGCTGTAGCTACTCGAGCTCTCAACTGTAACGGGTCTCCTAAGGAGGCCTTTATTGGAGTCCCCACACAACCACTGCCCGTTGCTACTAAACTTGTGGGGGCTCTGCAGGCTCCCACAGACTCTTTGGAGGTACTTGAACCCTTGCAGTCTTGGGGTTTCTCTACCGTTGGCTGTGGCGTGGCAGCAAAGATATCTCGGCTTTGTCAAGAGGAGCAGCAGCTTCAGCAGAAAGAACAACGGCAGGGACAAGGCCAGGACCAACAGCAACCGCAGCGACAGCAGCAAGACCTTCAGGTCTTATCTGGTCTTTGGTATATGCGCGGCCCTTCTGAGCTGCAGAACATGGCCAAGGATACTCTATCGACAACACCAGCAGTAGACAGAGGGTCCACTGTTGCTGCTGCTGTTGTTTCGGCGTTTCCGGTCTCTTTACCCCCGGCCACAGTCCATATGGAGGGATGTACAATGAACTCCAAAGCGAAAAATGTAATTAATTGAAACTATGCCCGCAAAAAGATCATACAAGCAACAAGCACTGCACTGGTCACCAGCAGCAAGTTTACCAAACATCAGTTCCTGTATCCCTCGTGTTTTCTGCCTCCTATGAACAGCATCTTTTCCTAAAGGGCCCCCCTTGGGGCCTCTTTGGGTAGTAATGGGCTTACAGGGGCCCTTTGATGCGTTGCTACATGCCTTCTTAGAGTGCCTGACGACAGCCTATGCCTCATGTCTTAGTTTTTAGATGAGGTGCGTCTTTTTTTAAAAATCCCTCAAATGCCGAAGGAAGGCGTGGGGGCTCAACGCGTGCAGCTGGGAACCTTGTGGGGGTTCCTGTGTGGCCTGTGGGGCTGAGAGGCCCGCTGACCAAAGCTTGAGCCTTTGCATACATGTGGACTGTTTATGTTTGTACTTTCACTGACACGCTTTTGCTTGCTCATTCTCTCCATTTGTAGTTGAAAGAAGAGTGGGAAGGAGGAAATTATTTGACTGCGCAGGTAGTTATGGCCAGTGTGTAATGCTGTCTTCAGTGTCTAGCCACTTCATTTTCAGGCGCGTCTTCTGCTGCCGTTGTTGGTGCTGCGTCTTCGCATTTACTTCAGAGCAGTGAGAGCCTGAGCAGACAGAAATTTTGAATGATGCGCCCTTAAGCCCAGACCTGATAGGAGAAGGAATCTTCAAAGATGACCACACTGCCCCAGAGAGTGAAGACTGTCACGGTATCAGCGTTAACACCCCTCTCTTTTCTTCAAGCTTTAGGTTTTGGGGCCTGGAGTCAGAGCTCTATTCTCTATTTCCTAGTGCTTCTGTCTAAGCATACACCCTTAAGTGTTTGGGAGATCACGAATTGCTCTTCGTTCTCTTCTGTCTCCTCCCCTTTCATGCTTGTCACCCACGACAGAGAGTCGCGGTGGCAGAGAGGCATCGCCACGCCCTCCACCACAGAACGCCACTGCAGTGTGGGGGCCTAAAAGAGCGCCAGGTTCAGATGTATGGACACCAAGTTGCAAGCCATTGCATGTAGGCACCTAGATATGTGCACGTTAGTCATTCAGATAACACAAGCGCCTCAATAGTTGGGCAGGCACCTCATGTGACTCCGTTATAGCAATGGATTGCTCGATGGGATAACTATACAGTACAGCTACAAAGATCAGCACTATAGTTTAGCGATTAGGGGTGGAGTGCCTGCGGCTAGTGCGCACTCTGGGGGGAAGCTCCCAGTCACGAATCGATCGATTTTGCCTGTCTTTTTCAAACCTAAGCAGCAGCAGTGTCACCAGCAGCAGCGGCAGCACCAGCAATATCTGGACAAGTAGGAGCATCAGTCACAGCAGTAATAGTAACAGCAAGGACAGGAACAAGGTAGCGTATCTCTTCGTTTTTTCCATGCTCATTAGAAGGGTTCGCAGAGCAAACAGCAGCAGCGACAACACCATCACCAGCGGCACCACGCTAACTGGAAGCACCAAGAGCCGGAACACCATCAGCAGCCCGACTACCAACATCAGCAGCAGCACATTCAACAGCTGCGTGAACCTGACTTGTATCGTTTGCGTATCTCATCTGCAAGTGCTGCTTTATACTTCTCCCACCGCACAGACTGCTGATGGTGTCGCAGCAAAGTCGAATCCGAGGGCATTGCGCTGCTAGCCAGCCCGAAAGACACCCGCAGGGGCTCTGTCAACGTCTGCGCCAGCCACAGCAGCCCCAGCAGCAGCAGCAGCAGAGGGAGAAGCAGGGGCAGGAACAATCAAGAAATCGCGTGCAGTGAATCGGTGGAAGGAGCAGTGGCTAGAGGGTGGTTTGGGATAGCAGGAGCGATGCAGTGCCAATAGCACCAAGCATAGCAGCATCACGGGCAACAGCAGGACTATCTAGCTGCTGCTGGCTCATAGAGAAGTCTTGTCAGAGCGAGCATAAAGCCCAAGCAGCCTTCCAAATAACAGAAAATCATTCAATTGAGTAAAATACTACATATGTAAGGCTTGTGTAGCGAAATTATAGAAGGAGTGAAAGTAGGAAAAAGCAAGCATCTTTCGCGTGTATGTACAACTCACCTTGAGAAACAGCCGTTTTTCGATGACGAATATCTGAGGAGAGACAGCAAAAGCAAATCAAGGCTGCAGTGGCATGCAGCAGAAGCAGAAGAATCGGCAGCAGCAGCGGCGGTAGAGGTAGTGACAGCACTGACAGCAACAGCAAGAGTAGCAGCACCAGCAGAAACAGCAGACGCGGTAGCAGCCTCAGCAGCGACACTTTACCTGAGCTGCTGGGAAAGCAACAAGCGTAGCACTGTAAACGTTACCTCGCTGCTGCACTGCAGCAGCTTTTTCGCCTTCCAAAATCTGCAGCAGTAGCAGCGAGAGCAGCTGTAGCACGAGCAGTAATGGCGCTTGAGACAGCAGCTACGCTGGCAACTATAGCGGCAGCATTGGCAGCAAAGGCACCAGCAACAGCAGGCCCAGCAGCAGCAATAGAGGCAGCATAATTGAGTTCATTCAGCAGCAGCAGTTGCAAAACTATTGGCAGTGGCAGCAGTAGTAGATTGCTAATGGCATGGGCAACAGCAACAGCGGCAGAACAAGCACCAGCGTCAACACCAGCCGGACTAGCAT